CGGTGTACCGTTGGCCTTGGTGGTGAACAGGGCCCACAATGGCCGGCTAATCAAATTCACCTCATCCTTTGAAGGCACGTATTGATTTCTGGTACGTGTCCAACTATGAGGTGTGTTTGTTAGAAATGAAGCTAAGCTAGGCGAAGGGGGGCAATGCTGCATACACACTTTCAACTGACTCATCGAGGCGCATCCTGCTATAGCAAATTATCTGAGAGTCCGGCCGGCCCCCTCCTGCTGGCGATTCTCCAGCGTCTCCTGCATGATAGGTGTGCCTCCTGGCTGGGCGGTGCATATCGCGAATATCAGCTTCCGGCCCCTGCCAAAGGCTTGCCCGGGATCATTGCCTCGACTACCTCACTACCTCAAAGCCGAGACATGTTCTAACCCCGGTGCCTGGAAGCGTCACATTGTAGGCCAAGTATGCATCGCCCTTCCTGGCACTCCAGAAGCAATTGCTGCACTCTCTTCAATTCCGGGGTGGATTCACAAAAGAGGGCGCCCAAGCAAATGCTTGCCACTTGTGCATGGTGTGTGTCACAACCGCAACTGACGGCAAAATATATTCGCAAAGTTTCACTTCGGCTGTTCTCTTCTGCGCTGTTGGAGAATGAACAGAAATCAAGTCTGCACAATGAGCGCACGGCACAACGCCATGTTGGCAAGCGTCGCGTCTACAAATGCCTACGCACCGCAGGTCGCCACAAGGAAAGCGCGCAGCTGGGCGATTCTCAACTCAAAAAGTTTAAATCGCTGTAGAAACCCCAGCCCTCGCATGTCCTGCTTTTGATGATGCCGAACTCCACAGCCAGCCTGATGAGGAGCGCCCAATGCAGTAGTGGGTAAAGCGTGCACTCGAAGGCAAATATCGACACTTGCGACACATTATATTCAACACCTGGACGGCATTCAGATCCTTTCTGCCAGTTGGGTCATCGCTGTTCGCGCGGCATCTCACGAATCAGTACAAGTACTCCCATTTGACGTCAAAGGTCCCTTGAATGATACAAGTTTACTATTCAAAATCCCAGGTAAATTAGAATCGTGGCACTTCAAAACGTAGTTCATCATTTGTGGATTCCCTAGTTTTGAGACACATCCACATGGACCAGCAAGTCGCCCATGACAATGATTTGTTTCCCATTGCTCGCAGCTTCTCCATTGCAAGGGGCTTGTCGATTCTCATTCGCAAAGGCTTGCCGCCGGTGTTGAGCTCGGTGGCTTGGACCTGCGTTCAAGCCAACAGGCACCATGCACTACCTCGTGCATGGCTGAATGTTGATGAGCTTCCACGCTCACAAACAAATCACCCTGTTTGTAGTGCAAAGCGGACAACGCCGCCTGCCTTGATCTCTTTGGGCACAGGCTCTTCAAAGCTAAATCCGTCATCGATGATGACCTCGATCACTGCCCTCCGCCAGCTGCATGCACAGGTCAAATGTAACCAGCTACTTCGGCTGGTGTCCTGAGGCTCTGACCCAGCCGAACCCGCGGAACTGATCAAAGAACCTGAGGTGCATCGTCAGCTTCGGAGCTTGGCCCAAGTTTGCCCCTAGAGCCATTACATGACTGCTGCGATGAGCCTCTTGCTTACGCTGAATCCAGGTGTAATCCTGGAGGCTTACATTCTGCCTGCATCTATCCATCTGCCTATTTTCTCCGCATGTCAGCAGCAAAACTTAGAGGAGCATATAGTGGATGACACGTTGCCCGACCCATCTGAACCACAGCCAAGCAGCTTAATGGTACCGGTGTGGCGGAGGCTCTGACCGCCAATGAACCTGAAGCACCAGCTGCTAGACTCCGATGTGTTTTACCATCTGAAGTTTGAGTGATGGCACCCCATGGCCGGCTATGAAATTCCAAGCAGGGCACATGAGCCATGCGCCAAAAACATTAGAAGCTCTTCAATTTTCCTATTTGCTTCCCTTTGTCTGGGCCAAATCTCTGGCAGACCCTGAAACCTTCGTCTCAAACATGTGTGCAACATTGTTCCTTGGACAAACCTGGCGGGTTCAAGCGATGTCTTGTGAAGCCCAGTGGCGTCATTACTTCAGCATCCATAGCGTCCTGGATGTTTAGCATGCCTCCCAGGCTCCCACGAGCGCGCTTCCGCGTGCAAACCGTCCGACCAGTCAGTTGGGTCTGCCAGAATGGCTGAGACTTGAAAGCGACTTGTTTGGTGGGCCCAACTCGTTGGCAGTCATGATGGGAACCCAGCCTCCACCAGGCAGGGTCACTGCCTTCGCTTTTAAGGAGCGAATCCGGTTGTAGCCTTGCCTGAGATGCATGCGCCCTCATGTTGCGGCCTGCATGTCTTACGGCCAAGGAATGGTGCAATTCTGGTGGGTAAGCAGCAGCCAATCTTCTGCCTACCTTGTTTGAACACATCAAGTCGCTGCACGCATCTCTTTCTGTTTGGACATTTGCAGGGGAAATCCCCACCGCCGACTGGGACGCAGTAATTTCGGGGGAAGGCCCCTACTTACTGGGGGCACAGTACGGGTACGTTAAGTCGGGGGTGGGGGCCAGTGGAGTATTCGCAAGGCAGCAAAAGGTCCCTGGGTGTTGCCCAGCCAAGCATCCTCTTCATAGTGATCATCAGCCCGAACTCCACCCTTGGCACGGGCATGTTGCCCGGAAACGGCCAGTCACTGCCTCACTGTGAACCGACCAATGCGTCACTAGCTCGGGAAGGAATATGGCATCAAGGGATGTGAAATTAGCCTTCAAATGTGACGAGCCCCGTCGCGCTACAAGTGGTGGCTTGGAGGCCTTACCCCTCTGTCGTGTTTAAGTTGCCCCAGAAAATATTGAGGTTGGTTAAAAAGCAAACAAGAGCTCATTCCTGGGCTCGCCGTCCATTTGGAGACAAACCCACAAACATTTGTATGGCTTTTGCTTTGCATCACGCCAAGTATCTGGAGGCCCTCCTTGAGACGAGGGAAGCGGTCGTCAGTCTGGATGTTTTTCCAGTGGACAAAGAGCTTTTCCTGAGCTTGTGCTTCTTGATGGTACTCTGTGTTTTGGGTTGGTTTGGGGAAATTCGAATGACAAACCAATTCGGGGTCCCCCGATTTTGACACACCTTCCCGAGCGTTGCTCAGGCAATGATGTCAAATTGATATTCGTCTTGTTGCTGATGCGTCCAGCCAGCATCAACCTCTGGCCTAATCGCCATACAACACGGAAGGTCCTTTGACTCATTGACTCAAACGCGCATTCTCCAAGCCCATTGGTCCTGGCAATATGTCACTGAGTTTGTTCTTCTTTTAAGCAAGTTCCTAAGTTGGGCCTTGCGATGCACAAGCGCAGTATATTTTATTCCTGCCGGGGCTTTCCATTTAATGTGCCGGGCGGCTCCGGGCACGACGCCCTGGTGCGCTCGCAATCCGCTCGCAAAATGCGTGTGAAAGGCGAGCAACAAAAGCAAGGCATGGAATTCAAAGGCCGTCATCCAACTACCAATCGAATCTGAGTGATATGGTTACGAGAGGGCAGTAGCATGGCAGTGCCAGCAATCAGCCTCAAACATGATCCTGTCAGCATTCAACTTTTCGATGCAAATAGCTGGTCTTCCCTTCCCCCCATGTCAGTACCAGCAAGCAAGTCACCTTCACAATGCCCGGAAATTACAACCTACGCCGCAGGCCATTTTAGAGGGCTTCCTGGCTTGCCTCCACTAAAGTTGCAACCTCGGGGGAGTCGAGTAAAATTATCACTTTGTTTTGATCCAACACACAGGGCCATTAAGGGACCCCAAGCAATTCTTCAGTTCTTGCCCGTGCAGCTGGCCTGCTGGTCGACCGCGATGTGGCCAAACCCTCGCCACTTGTTGAAGTCCAGCACCTGATGATAGTGGATCCGGTGGGGTGAGCAAAAGGTAAAATTCTAGCAACATTGAAACACCCACTTGGATGATGTTAACCTACTCAAACATGTATGCAAGACATACCCCCTGCCGAACATGATCCTAAGTGGTGGTGTTTCCTTGTCCGCCGACTTCCACTCAAGTGCCTACGCTAGGGATAGTTGGCATTGAGAATCGTAGGGTACTTCGCAAAAGCATCACGTTGTGGTCCAAAGACCTGCAAGGGGCCCAGTGGGAGGACGCACATCTTGCCAAGATGCCTTCCCAGTGTATCGTGCATCCTGAGTCGATTGCTGGCTGCTGGCGACTTTGACTCAGCCAACCCCTACTAACTAAAGGCTGTTCAACCAACCTCTCCTGATGGTTGAGCATGCCTGGCTGCAGTTGCACGGAAGCCCCCTGTGAAAAGAACCTTCATCATGGGGTGAGGTTGCAAACCCCAATAAGTTAGGTCACTGCAGAGTGCCAAAACAAACCAGAAAGTAACGCAGCTCGTTCTCTCTCTCTCTCTCTCTCTCTCTCCCTCTCTCTCCAGCATCTTCGAGCAAGCAGTTTCGTTGTGGCTCATGATGCAAATCGGTAAAATAAATCCTCAAACTCAGCCAAACTCAGGACCCAGCCTTGTCCACTGTAAAGTCCTCCGGGAGTGCCACCTCTGTGTCCGTTGGCTCTCCTGTCTCGCCTGCCGTGATGGGATATTCTTGACTGAGCAACTGCCAACATGTTGCCACGCAACTCACAAAGTTGGGTCAGGCCATCCGGGTCATGAGATCATTAGCGCCCCCATCTGTTCAGCGCTCCGGCCATGCCCGTGGGGCGTTTCAGATTTCGCCCTGCCTGGAACTGCTGCCATGTTTGGAGAGCTAGGGACGGAAAAGGCGCAGTTGAGCCGATGGGGAATTCTGCGCGCGGGTCTTCCTTCGGAAAAGCCAAGCGGGCTAAAATCCTCACGTGGGTCATGCTCACCCTCACGTGATCATGCTCATCTCTGGTGCGGATGCACATTGCTAGCCAAACTCACGTAATTTCGAAAACCTGAGCTCAGGGATCCCCAAGCAAAGGACCAACAACATGGTGAGCTCGTTGTGATCCCGGGTGAACTCGCCATCAAACAACCTCAAAACTCATATGCCCTTTGTCCGCTCTCACACAGGTGGCCCTCCCCTGGCCCTCAGGTGTAGAGGTGGACAAACCGATCTGGAAACTCGCATCCATCCTGCGCATAGCGAAGAGATGCGAAGAGGAAGTGGGCAAGTGGCGATCATGTGTGGTGAAAGCTTTCATGGATCCCATCTTGCCTCACTGGCTACAATGGTGCTTGAAGTCATGTTTTGGACTTTTGATGCCCATTCCCTGTTGATATGCAGGTCTCTTGCCCCTACCATGGATCCGTGCATCTTGAAGGCCCGCGCCATTTCTTAAGCCATGTCAAGCGGTTCATTGCCCCCTGTTAGCCAGGGAAACGCAACTGCCCCAATTCGAGTCAAATGGTTAACTCCTTCACACCCCTAACAAGTATGTCGACACACCATATCACGTCCCACCCAATCAAACCAATGTCGAGATCTCCGCCATGCATGCAGCTGCTTGTTTCGCCTCATGCTGCTGCATCGACATCAGGACACATTATTTTTGTCTTTAACAAACAATTGCTTGTGACATGTGCAGACTATCTGTCTAACTCTACTTAACTCTACTGACAAAGTGCTGGCTTGACAATGAAATGCTGAAACCCGCCTGGCCGACGCCAAGGCCATTCCGCAGGCAGTCCGGCAAGCAAGCGTTGTGACCCTTCCACTGGCAGTGAAGCAGCTTGCCGCGGGTGTTTCCATAAATCTTCTCGCCGGGGCGGTAGTACCTGGGATAAATGCTCGACTAGTGTTGTTGACTGGTGTCCCACCAAGGCTGTGACTACCTGTGGGCTGATTTAGTTGCGCTTGGGTGGGACCCTCAGAGCTGACCCAGTGACAGCCAAACCAGTCAAACCCTTGAATCCTGCCGCCTCAACAGGCGAGCACTGGCGTACTTTCCATAACTTGGTAACAATGTGCCGCCATCACCGAGCCAGGCTGCCACACCGAGCCAGCCAGCTGGTCCCGGAAGAAGTTCACCCGCACTCCACAAAGCCGAGCGCGAATGTCGTAGGCCCTCACTTCCTGCCTGAGACGGAGTCATGTGGTGCAAGCTGTGCCGTGCGGCGGTGGGCAGGCGTGTAAGTGTGTGTGTGTGTGTGTGTGTTGTGTGTGTGTGTGTGTGTTGTGTGTTGTGTGTTGTGTGTTGTGTGTGTGTGTGTGTGTGTGTGTGTGTGTGTGTGTGTGTGTGTGTGTGTGTGTGTGTGTGTGTGTGTGTGTGTGTGTGTGTGTGTGTGTGTGTGTGTGTGTGTGTGTGTGTGTGTGTGTGTGTGTGTGTGTGTGTGTGTGTGTGTGTGTGTGTGTGTGTGTGTGTGTGTGTGTGTGTGTGTGTGGTGTGTGCGTGTGTGTTGTGTGCGTGTGTGCGTGTGTGCGTGTGTGCGCGTGTGCGTGTGCGTGCGCGTGCGCGTGCGTGCGTGCGTGCGTGCGTGCGCGCGTGGTGCGTGCTTGTGCGTGTGCGTGGGTGTGCAGCAAGTCCCAGCCAGCAAGTCCCAGGAATGAGACCCCTGTTGCCACAAACATTGTGTCTGAGCATGCCATCATGCCACTATGCTTATCAAAAGGCCCCATCGACCCTGGAAAGCAACTTCGCTCAACACATCTCAGCACTGTGCCATATCCTGCTCCCAACGAACAGCAATGGTTCGGTTCTGCAGCCCTTCAAGTGAAAGAGTCAGTGGCTAACTGCGTTCTCGCCGTGCAGATCGTGAGGGGATCGATCAGGACCGTTGCTTTGTGCCGGGTGACGGGCCAGAAAGCCAGATGTCCATGCGGGCCGTGTCCGCCAAGGTCCGGAACACCACGCGGTCCCCACGGAGGATGTAGGTGTAACCTGCGGCCAATGCCGACATGCGGTTAAAACCAAAGCCTCCCGAAAGTTGCTACCTGTTGATCCCACGGTTCTTTTGTTTGGGCGAAGCACTTCTTTACTGCCCTGCTTGATTTGCCTGCAGGTGCGAGAGTCTGTGTGATAACCTTAGTATCTCGACCAAAGGCCTGTGCAGGCTTCAGGCCCAATATCCGGACAAGGATGCGAGAGCAAACTTCCCTGCCAAGCCTAGCTGCTTCAACTCCTCCTCGTGCTCCTCCAGTAGGCTGCCAATCACCACCGGGTGGGCGGCAATAAAGTTGGCATCAATGTCCGCATCCCAGGGGAACCTTTGACACGCCGGCGGGGCCCCAACCGAAAACGCCCCCGCCAACCCCAACGTGATGCAAGCTTGCACGCAAGTCAGAACTGGCTGTGGTTTTTGTGCGGTCCTCAACACTCCCTGGGTGAAAGTAGATAGCACACTTGTTAAGGTTTGGTCGTCTCCTCTTCGCGCGAGCAAACCCGAAGCTTGGCCCTTTGGCTCTGAGGTTTCGGCAGCTCGGTCTCGCCGCTGCGGTAGAGATTCAACACACCTCGCTCGATGCAGGCAAGGGAACATATCAGACGTCCTCTCCTCTTTGCAAATGACACCTCAGTGTCTGTAATATCTTCTTGTGAAGTTGTGCGAAACCCAAAGACAAACAAAAACCAAGAAATTACGCTGCTTGTGAGTGACACGTCCTGCTTTGAGGGCTGGCCAAATTCTGCAGCCGCAACCGTTGGCCGTTGGCTGCCAAACGGCCTCAAAAGTCTGCAGCCGCAACCGTTGGCCATTCTGCCGCAAAGCGTCTGGCTGAAACCGGGACGATGATGTGACGCAGCGGGTCCATGTTCAACCACCAGCCGCCCACCTCATCTGAGTCCACTGGTCTCACACGGGACTCCATTGAAACAACATGCCTGGCCAAGACTTGGACAGGGGACACCCGAATTGCGACAGCGGAAGGCCCTTGCGTCCCTGCCCGTAGCCACGGGGAAAGACCTAGCGTGTTGTGTGAGCTATTGCAGAGACTTCAATGAGCGGTGGCAAGCGGCTCTTTCCAAGCAACCATAAACGCTTCCTGATTGGGATGCCATTTGGCTGCTTGTGGCCGAGTTGTGCTTGCACCGATTTGCACGGTGATCCTGATCGATCTGTGGCAGGGGTGGATTGGGCCTGTTCAAAACCAAATTTGATGCCAGGGCTTAGAGCGGCTGAGGATTGTCAACCATAACCGCCCATCTTTTAATCAAGGAAACCCAGCATCACCATGAGGTCCTGAAAAAAAACTGTATCATCGCCCGGGTGCAAGCTTATCTTTCTCCGCGCGGGCAATCCGTGATGGCACCCATTCACAACACCGCTCTCGGCCGAGCAGCATCTAAGAACATCTGCCGCAGCTCCCGCCTGGCGTTGATTGGTCCGTACGTGCAAAAGCTCCTCAAAACCCCCGCACCCAGCCAGTATGCACTGTCAAACGTGTTCATCTGAAGCTCCACTGCGAACCATGGAGGAAAAAACAAGATCGTATGTCACAACACATGCTGGAATGATGTGACGTTTCGCCCGGGATAGCACGGCTATCAGCACAAGTCCTGGTTAATGTGTTGACTCCTCTGGATACTGCTCAAAGCGAGCATTTCAAATGCATCCGCGTTGATCGCAACTTGGACCACACATGACCACACAGCAGGCTAACTGGAGAGCCAACTGACGGGAGTCACGCAGACCAGAAGGGATTCTTTGCACGCGTCGGAATCCGAATGGAAGGTCTCTCAAAACGGAAAGCCCAACTTCTCAACCATGATCTTTGTCAAGGGCGCGGGGGAATTGCCCGTCCAGCGCGCCTGGGATTCCAAACCAATACTCCCTGAGGCTAGAAGAAAACAATTCCCCGATGATACTGTACTTATCCACATGACTGGCCTTTGGCAGGACTAGGTTCCATTCTTTGGCAGAGTGCTTATATTGCGCGTAGTTCAAAAGGAACTCAAAGGCAAGCCAAAGGCAAAGTCCCATTGACAAAGGGAAGCGTGCATGCAGAAAGGGGCAAATTCGGTTGACCATACTGCCGTTTGATAGTTTTGCCTCTCCAGCACCTGAGCGCAGGTGCAGGCAGCAAGCAGTGCCGGCAAGCGCAGGTGGTGTAGTAAGCTCAAGGTTTGCTTTGTCACCATCCCGAATCTCCAGGAGGGCTCACGTGGCATGAGCCCATCTGCCTTGTACACCAACTCACAACCACGCCGTGGGTGTGAGTGAATGCGCTGGCCAGCGAGGACGTCGGGAAAAGGCAATGCTCTTGCGGCGGACCTGGAGGAAGCCCACAAATGGGCTCAGGTTTGAAGAAGTTTGCAGTGGGTATGACATGTATGTAGTTTGGGACATTTTGGCACCATTTGGTGAACATCTTTTATATGGGGATGCAGGATCATTGAACATGGTGACCAGTCAGTCCTCTAGGAAACGCCTGAGCACTTTCATCGGCAGCTTTCGCAAAAGAAGTCGAAACTGGATGGCACGTTGGCAAAAACTGCACTCTCAGTCCAAACGCATGCAGTAATGCACATCTTCCACCCCCTCCTTGGCGCTGCGGCAAGAATTGTGCCGACTCGATGTGGAAGGTGCGGGAGAGGCGCGGAGACAGGCGAGCTGCCTTAGGAGTACAAATCAGCAAAGCTCAGGCTCAGCTGAACACCTGGAATCCTCGATTGCTTCTGCATAGCCCTCTTCTTTGGTGCATCAGCTTTCATGGCAAACTTGTTGTGTTGGAGGCTAGTTGCTTCACCCAGGAAAGCTTGAGGCAACTTGAGTAATTAAACGAGTGCTTCAAGCTGCAACTCTGCAAGCATTCGATGGCATTGAGGGACACAAGCGACTTCTGGCTATGCAAGCGACTGGGCATCTCATGGCATCTCTCTCCCTCTCTCGCGGGCTGGCGGCTGATTGGTAGCTGTCCTCCAGCGACGCCCCATTCCTGGGAACAGGCGCTCTCGTTCAGCGTTAATACCAACGAAACCCGGCATCGTCCTCATCCTCGCAAACCCTTCTGTCTGTGCCATCGCACTGCCGCCTGTCTGGCAGGGAGTCTGAGCCGTACATCCTTGATCTACGAAGCCGAGTCTCAGGTAGGTGTACGCTTGCAGGCCCAGCTCTTTGCCAAGCAAATCCAGCATAACCAGCCAGTTTGCCGCACCCTGCCGCAACAGGGAGAGGTTTACTCACCGCAATCGTCCACGTTTGTGTCAGTTACAATTGGATGGAGGATGCGCGTAAAGACTGGTAGCTACAAGAAAACGCCAGGGCGTCCACTTGACACTTTGGCAAGGTGCGTGGCCTCATCCTCAGTGGCTAAGGTGGCCTCGATGGCAGCTCTGCCTGGCAAAGCTTGAAATCATGTCAACTCTTGCTTTATCAGGGCCGATGGGCAACCAGTTCATTTCATGGGGATTCCTCCGACCGGTTCTTCGTATGAATCCAGTCGGATGTTACAAAGGATTCAGGCTTCTCATTGGTCAAAAGGGGAGCCCCTTATTGGTGTACGCCCGCCTTCCATGCAATTGCTAGACCCTTAGAGGGCGGTGGTGTGTGCTGTGTTGCTCACCTACCTGTTCTAGTTCCACCCTTTGCCTGGGAGTTTGAATGCCGACGCCTGCATCCTCCATGCCAGGCAAGGCCGACACGTAGTCCGTTTCCCGCCGCGACAGGCGGGCGAGCAAACCTCGATTCGGAGAAAAGCTACAAAGCATTCAGCATCGCGGCAAGCAAACAACTTAACACGGATTCAAAGATACATACACCCACTCGCTCACACACACAGGGATGCCTTGAAGCTTGCAACTCATGACATTTCCAGATTCGTGTGTGACATGCGCACGCATTTGATGTTGCAAATGTAACCTACCCTTTAGGCCAGAATGCCAAACAGCAAGCGCTTTAGTAAAATAACGAAGGCAGTAAAGTGAAAGTCAAGTGCTCGCACAAACATGCAGGTCAGACGAGGGCCGCTTTCGGATCTTGGTAGCGCACACACGCCCTAGTAACTTTCGTGCGAAAGCTGCGAGCAAACAGACCAACCCTTCAACTGCCCTAGACAAGCAGCGGTTTTGAACAACGCCAAGTCAACCAATGTCAAAGAGAAGGCCATGCGCAACAAAAATGAATGCTTGTGCTTCATATTATGATCTCATGCCCTGCCATTATCTGCTGCTTGTGCATCCCCTCCCCCCTGTCCCCTCCAAATCCATGCATGGGCAATCAAAGTTTGTTCAAGCTTGTGGACCCCTCTTTAAAGAGTATTCTCAGAGCTCCCCAAAAGTCAAAGGGAGTCCCAACCTCATCTGACGAAATGTGTTTGTTTTGTCTGGCCACGGAGGAAGCTGCGAGTGCCATAGACCCGGGTGCCGCTGGTGGTGTCCCCCACAGCCCAGAACTGTGCCAGCGGCAGGAAGGGCGAGGTCTCGTGGCCGGTGGCGTACCTCAAAGCGTCCATCAAGCGTCTTCGGTCAGAGCATCATTTTCAGTAAATGTCGTTAAACATTGCACTTGCAAAGGTTGTCGCTAACGGTTCGGAATCGGGCAGCCCGAAACTTTAACGCTGGGAGACGGCAACCGGAGCAAGTGCGGCGAAGCGTCATGGCATGTTACAAGGTCCTTTGGCAACGCTTTTGCTTGGATCAAGCTCGTGATGTGCCCTTCATGTGACTGACGGATTGTTGCAATTCAGCCACAAGTAGTCCAAGAGCATCACTACAGTTGATTCCCTACTGTGTCAAGTACAGAACGGCAAACAAGCTGTAACCTCTGGTTGCTCGCTTCAACGTAGTTGGCTGACTTCTTGCAAAACAGAATCCACTGCAAATCCATGTGGCACGCACAGCTCGACCCGCGCAGGTGCGGCTGAGCGGCTCTTCATAGGCTAACTTCCAGTACCTGTGCCTGACCCGGCGCAGGGGCCAGTTGAAGATCCTGGACCTGTTGAGAGTAGGCAGCCCAGCTACCGCAATTTCCCGCGCAAAGCGGTTTCCTTGGAGGGCGCTCCGGCTCCGAGGGTTTGTTTGGGCAAAGGCTGGAGGCCACTACGTGAAGGTTTTCATACGCGGTGAGATAGATGTAGGCTAACCCCCAACCTGCTAATTACCACTGCGACAGAGCTCAAACATGAAGTGCCATTATGGACCGTCAAACTCGAGGACCGCTTGAAAAAGGCCACCTTCGTGTTGTGGCACATGCTAGCTCGGCCTTCTCGCCCATTGCACATCTGATTGCGCAATGCATCATTGGTGCATCCCATCACCTGAAATGGAAGGCAGCCCATAGCCGAAAGCTGAACAAAATAGCCACCTCACCCGCATGGAACCAAACTGAGGGCATAGTTTGGATCATTTCCTCAAAAAAAAACATGTCTTTCAGGCTTTGCAAAACGTCGCAAGCACAGAAGGGCAAAACGGTGCAACCGGGGCACGCTCCTGCAAGAGTCGCCGTAGGTCCTGCGACAGGTACTCCTCCCAGGTCCAAGTGCCCGGGCTCACCTGGGAGTGCAGAGAGTGCTTTTGGGGTGGTTTTAGACTCAAACCTCAAGGGAGACTAGCCTTTTTGAGGTTCCAAACGGAAAGCAAAAGGGTAGCCTTAAGGGAACCCTTTCGGTTGTTCTAAGTTCTGTAAGGCAAACCCTGGTCAGAATTTGCGTGGTCATTGGGTTCCCTTCTTTGAGCATGCTGCGCATTTTCTCGGTTGATACCTCTAACACTTCACTGGACATGGCACTCTGACTCGCAGCCTCGGTGTTTGAAGCCCTGGCCAAGTTCAAACTATGCCCGCAGGCATTGCGGCATAGTCTTCGATCATTGTGGCTGCACGTTGACCAGGCTTTCACTTACAGGGCATCTGCCTACGCAGTTGCAAACAAACAGCAAGCAGCGCCTGAAACAGGCCGAAGCACCAAGCCGGAAACACCACGAAAGAAACAGCAAGGGTGAGATGAACTGAAAGTGCTTGAAACGAGCGATCATGACAGTGAAAGGAAATGGTGCAGGCTCTGGGCCTGCAAAACAAAATGTCATATCTGCGCACAGTACAGGCGATGCAAAGCTCTGACCAAGTGTATTGCCTGGAAGAAGGTATGGTGAATCAGCTTCAAACTACAAAGGCCTTCGAAAAACCGATTGCCCAGCGGCCAGCAAAGTGCTCCATGATGCAGCTGATGCGCCAGAGGCAGCAGCAGCGATGGCGAACCCAGCAGACCTTACAAAGGCACCCGTCAACTGCCGAATGAATCCTTCTGGCATGCGCAGCTTAATGCTCGACTCAAAATCCTGGCCCCTTCACCAGGGCATTTGCCAGGCTAAGAACACACGCGTGCAGGCATCAGCAGAGATGGGCAAAATAGCTCCGCCGCGCGTACCCAATGCAACCTAGTGACCGGTAGTACGCAAAGCATGGCGACGGACTTTGCCAATCGCTCTGGTGGAAGTGGAGTTTGCACAAGCCTCGCACGGGCGCACAAGAATCGAGATCCTACACATGGAAGTGGACGGCCTCCCTTTTCAAAATGAAAGTAGTCCTTCAAAAGGGCCTATGCACTTCCATGTTTGTTGCTGGGTCTTCCACCTGGACCGGGCAGAGACATGAGTTGTAGTAGTCGGAGGGCTCTCAACTGTTCATACTTATGGAATTCCAATAACGTTTGTTTTTATGCAAAAGGTTGTTGACAGCCCTCCTCCTACTTCCCAATCTGCACTGGCTGACTGAGACGCTATGCACTTGGTTACGCAAATTCCGAACAGGTTGTGTATGCATCAGTGACACTATGGGAAGGTGGTTGCTGGCAAACAACGCACCTGAGTGGAAGGGAGGCAGGTTCCCGCTGGTATGATACAGCACATTTCGCCACTGCCATCGGCCCTGCCTTGGATACCACTGCACAAATCTTGCAGCTCTTCTTCGATGGCCAGCGGTCCGCAGTAGATGATGTCCTGAGCAGCGCTGTCGGGGTGTTTGGCCGCAGCACAGCATCGTGCAAAGAACAGGCAGCAGATGAGAGGGAAACAAGCACCGACACCAAGGCGCGTTTCTTCGCAAGCCAGTTTGCACTCAGGGCTCAATCGGCAAACACAAAACTGGCCCATGCTGCAGACTATTCCGAGTATCCACGCGGCCTCGCTTCATCCATGCTCGGTGCAACCTCTTCTGGGCATCATCCAGGTGCAGCAGCAAGGAGGGCATTGGAGGAGCGAAAATGGCCTCACAGCGGAGTCTCCTTTCAGGGATCTTGCGCTTCACTCAAAGGTCTGTTCCTTCACTCTATCTGATTTGTTGGCGTGCCGGAAGTGGGAAGAGAAAAAACAAGTCAATCACAGCCTGCCTCCTTTACAACATGCGCTTGCCCTGCCGTTGGATTCAGAAGGCCTCGTTTCTGATGTCCAGGCCATTGCTGCTGACAATTCTGAGTGCAGAACAAACACGGGTGAAACACACACACACAACCATGATGCTAGCGTCCGTCTCCGAGCAGAGAAATAACTATTTGTCATTGCATTTTTATGCAAACATTTGCCAATGACATGCAGCTCACATTGGTAATCAATCAGAGGGGGGCCAACTCGTTCTAGCATATTCCCAACTCCGGCGTAGAGAAGGAAGATAGCAAATAGCGGAACAAAGCAGCAAACACATGCAAATGGAAGATGGGAAGCAGGAGGGCAAGAAATGCCAACGGGTGAATCAGCATCTCAACCAATGGCATCCCTTCCTGTTTATGGAACATCTCAGGTCTTCATTGCTTTCCGTGCTGTTGTCATGAAGACCCCCCCAAGCACCAACCACCTTCAGGTCTGCGCTAAGCATATGAAATAGAAATGCGAGGCCGCAGGTCAACTCGATGGCTTGCCAATGGTGTACACGAGCTTGGCATGTGGGACGGTAAGACGATTGGGTGAGGCTCTGGCAACGCCTTCGAATGGTTGACCCACAGCAACTTTTCGTGGGTTCCCGGTTTGGGAGTGCATTAGGTGTTTGTTTGTTACCAAAAAATGAAAAAGCGAGGGAGCCGAAGATTCTGGAAGCACAAGGCCGAAAGGTATGCAGACTTCTGCACATCAATCAACAAGGCACGGTTGAGAGGGGTGAATCCTCCACGCCACTCCCTCCAAGTGTACATCCCTAGGCGCACTCAGAGGCAAGGTCAAGTTTAGCACCCATTTCAGAAACCTTGCCGGTTCTAGCTGGGCCCTTGCGGTTCCCCGGAATCAAGCGGTTCACTCCCAACACCCTTGGAGGATTCCCTGTACATCGACAAAACCCACTTCGCACCAGTTCAAATTGACACTGGTATGAACCGATGAGGTAAAGGATTGCGCCGCCAGTTACGGATTGATGACCCAGCAACTGGTATGAACCACCGGAGAGGTGAAGGATTTTGCCCAAGTCTCGTGCCCCCCCAGCCCCCGAGGCCTTGGGCCCAGCCCCGCGGCGGCCAGCTGCCAGGCGCGCTGCTGCCTGGGTCTGGGCCAAGAGCCCCACGTCTACGCCTGGGCCACGATCTTCTCTACCGCCCAAGGAAGCCACGCGTTATCCATAGGTGAGGCTTTTAAACCTTTCTACTCAACACAAGGGCTAGGATGGCTAGGTGCCCCCGATGAAGCAATCAACTTGAGCAAGCGGAGCAAGTCTGTCGAATGACAAGGGTGAAGAACATGTGGGACGCCCAATGTTGAGCTCAAAACACGTTCAACTCAATCGGGCAAAACACGACTTGAACACCAATAGTACCAAACATAGGACTGCCAAATATAATTTCCCTAAATATGACTGCTTTGGGCATGCATGCCAGTTTTCGTGAATCAGCTTCACCTTGGTGTCCTATTGCATGAGGGGGTTGCCTGTTTGAAAAGCGATGTTGCAAAGCAGCAGGATGTCGCTGTGTCCCATCGCTTTGCCTTAGGCAATGTGTAAGTTGATAGCTTAGGCAATGAAAGAAAAGAACCGATGTCACCAAACAGGCAGGCGAGGCTGCCCAACAATGTGTCCCGTCAGAAACTTGACAGGCCCATGAGCCATCAGCCAACCAATGCTAGCAACTCACAATAGACATCTATTCATTCTCAGCTTCTTAGACGTCTGCCCGGTATACACATGAGGTGCCAACGGTCCCCTTTCCAAGAGCACTTACTGTGTCACTTTGCGTGGTATGAGCATCGCGATCGCAAGCCAAGCCACTTCTTGCCCCGAGAATTCCTGTATCAAAAACGCATGCCCCTGTCATCCTTCACCGGGCCTCACTTCGGGCTCCGACCCTTCGACCCTTCGACCCTTGGGCCTGGCGCTGGTGGCAGCGGCTGGTTCCGCTCGTTGCGGCCTACCGCCGCCAGCGCGGCGAAGGCTGCGGCGCGTGCCAGGGGGCAGGGCTGCCGCAGCAAACTTCCAGCCACGCTCCTGGGCGAAAGTCATCCCCTTTCGAGCGCTTGGAAGCCTGTGATGCCACCGGAAATCTGAGTGAAACTCACTATCCGTCGAACCTTCCCTGTCAACATTTCAGACCCGGATCAGGATGACCGTGCCATTTTGGCGGGGTATGATAGGATTGCTTAGCCTTGGCTTTGCCACTGGGCATCAACCCATATTCTTCCCATGCTTAACGCGGTTCTCTGACAAGGGCTTACCACTGGCTTCTGAAAAATCGGAAATGACCTTTGGACCTTAGCCTTAACTATTGAACCTGCTTTTTTTAGAATAATTGCAACACCTGAAAAAAGCGTCAGGGTGAGATCGTTTAAACCCAGAATCGGAAAACTGGCTCTTGACAAAATCACCCAAAACCTCCCATCCCTCCCCCATGCCCCCCGAGCTCGTGATCTCGTCGGTCGCGTCTTTGGCGCCCACCAGGGCCGCCAGGCGGCCCAACTCGGACTCGATTGGCCGGCAGTCTGCAGGAAGCTGCTCCCCTGGCGAGGGGATGGGGGCGAAAGAGTCTTGGCTCGAAGGGGCAAGTGGGTGGATGGGCGGGGGGAATCTGGACAAGGAACGTGGATGAACACGCCAACTGTATGTTATGGGCCCCTTGTTCTGGGCGGCTGTCAAATGAATCACATACAGCCAATGGGTTGGCGCTAAATATCACAAAGCTCACGAGGCCTGCGCTGGCCTTGTGCCAACACATTGGCTCTCTGGCGCCCTGATTCGCTCTCTCTCTCTCTCTGTTTTTCCAGCCGCGCTCCTCCGTAGAGGTCTGCCACCAGCGCGAGCACCTCAAAAATCGGCCACCCAGCAGCCAAGGCCTAGCTGCAAAGTGCCGCTTTTGCGACATGAAACGCAAAATTCAGGGCCAGAAAACGGAACTATTTCTTGTCAGAGTTCACCATTATAGTAGGCAGCCCCAGACAAAAAAGGAACAAGGGTGCCATTGAACAACTGGGGCTCAACATTGAGACCAGGTTTCACCGCATTCGAGCCCAATGTGGCTGGCAGTGCGATGGTCTAAACCTTACGAACGCTCGCCTCTGTCCAGTTGGTGCCGTGCACAAGGCCCCACAAGTCATCCTGGGCCAGCAAATCAGTCTGTATCGGTTTCATCAACCCCAATAGGTTGCCCACTCGTGTGACCGTCTGTCAGCCTTGATGTTTTTGAGATCGTCTTGAGATCGTTTTAGTCTTGTGCTGATTCTCCACATACTGCACCTTTGAATCATACGGTTGGTTCCGACAAGCCAATCAAACATATCCCGAAAGTTGGCCTCGACGAGGCTTTTCGCAGAATCTCGAAACCTTGGAAGGGGAGGTTCAGCTTTACGGTGCTGATCCTGTCTGCAGTCTGCCCACCCTTCCGTCTGCTTAAATTGCAATTTCGACATCCTGGTTCACAACCGTCCCCAAAAAGGGGGAATGTTGTTATTGTTGCAAGTGCGCCAACCCTGGTAAATGACAGTAAACCAGAGAGTCCCTCGTTCCCTACTTTCAAAATGAAGGGAATCGCCCTGGTAGAACCACAAACGCTGGTTGGGTCCTCGTAGCGCTGGAACCACAGGTCCCAGCCGAGGCCCGAGTACAGCACCGAGACCAAGACCCGCAAACAGTGCCTGCCCAGTGCACATTGGCTCCGCTCAGGCAGCACCTGAGGCTGGACGGATGCAGTGATTGAAAGCAGGACACGTCATCCCCGGACACAACACAAATTAAACTCTCTCAGGTAGCAAGCATTGAAATCAGGCTTGCTCCAAGGGAAAAAGGTCGTTCAAGCACGTGCTGGGGCAGTTCTTGCACCTTTTGCCCCCCGGGTCCGACCAGTCCGCGGGGCTAGGACGAGCTTCTGGAAGCGCTCCAGGTGCCGTTGCAGCTGCACATCCCCGTAGGACACGGCCGGGTCCCGCCCCTTGGAGTCCTGTTCGTTCATTCCCAAGGCGAATGTGCGGAAGTGGTCCCTAGGGGTGCTAGGGGGGATAGCAACGCCTTGCTCCCCTTTGCTTTCAAGAAGGGCGCCACCAACTACGGGTAAAGTGAAAGGTCAGAAAAGTTTCGGGAGAATCTCCTTGGAGGCATGGAGGTCTCGAGACAGCGCGCCATTGTGGAGCACCTCCGACAGCGCGTGGGACAGGTCCGAGCGCAGCACCTCCCAGCGCACGCCCTCCTCCTCGCCCTCACCTCGCTTGGTGCATCACGGGAATGGGACATTCGTTGAACAAACTCGAGTCTTGAACCATGGTGGTTGTAAGCAAGAGGTTGGCCCAAGCGCCTGTGAGGAAGGCTTCCGTCAACTGGTCAAAGTGAAGGCCCCTTCAGTTGTGCAAGGGAGAGTGAAGGGCAACATGCAGGTTTGTTTGGGTCCCCCTTTCATAGATTCACAGGCTGCAAAACACGAATGTGGAGAGTCTTTCATTCATCAACGCCTGTCTGCTCCTTTTTTCCGCGGCATCCGAAACTTCGCCCAGCCGCAATCCAGCGGGCGGAGGGCAATGCCAGGAAGCCAGAGCCAAAGCACCTGGCACATCTGCGAATTTCGCTGGACGTCTTGGCCAAATGTGGATGACACCCAAAGCAAGCCCAGTGCCTGCCAAGCGCGCCACAGGACCATGACATTGCAAGCAGGTGCGCTAGCACTCCACTCCTAACTGGAAATCGTGAGGAACCCCCTGCTTATACATTCTCTGCCCCTTTGCAATCAAAAGAAAACCATTGGACTTGTACAAAAAGGGGGTCTCCTATACGTCTAACGGATGGTATGCGGATTGAGGTATTCTTTGTCCAACTCTTATAGAGGCCTGACAGGGCTAGCTCGGCCATTTGTTTCATGCCCGGCTGGGTGGCTAGCTTGAGCTGTGGATACTTGCAAGCAGGGCGTAAAAACCTATGTCTGTGAGAGGGGTCTGGTCGCATAGCAAACTTCTTCACAGTGACTCTACCTTTGCCTGTTCTGATTTGTTTCGGGTGCCCGTAGGCTTGAGCAAATAGGCAGCCCATCACTTGACAAATGCCTAGGCTTGGGAACCATCGAATCATTCTGACTTCTACCCTTTTTCTATTCTTGTGTCAAGCCTCGACGCGGACAAACTATAAACTGACATGGTTCTGAAGCTCACCTGATCTCACCTGTCCACAGCGTCGTGCTTTCCGGAGGGGAAAGCAAAGTAACGTCCGTCCAGGCCGATGGCTGACGCCGAATCCATTCCGGGTGGCCTTCTGCGGCTTTTCTGCGCTCGCTTCCCATTAGCTTCATACACTGGGACTGCACAGTCCTCTTTGGTGTATCGAGTCTCACTCGGTTTCCTGCGCAGCCTTGGTCCACAGTTTAAAGGGAGCGTTAAAGGGAACCCACTGTTGGAATTTGCAGCGGGGATCCTCTCTTGATCAAGTTCAGCTCAACCTCGTTGTGGCATGCCGCTGTGCGCCGGCACAACTTTCCCCCATGCAGGGGCGTTGGAAGCCGCCTGCGAGCTGATCAGTGAGGATGGCTGATGGCTGCCCCCCTTCGTATCGTCGCTTTTGAAAATGACTGTACTCACAGCCAGGGTGAGCGCCCAATCAAGCGTAAGAGCTTGGTCTAGGGGCAGCCATGTTCCAAGAGAGCAAAGGGCTATATAAGGATTCTGCACCTTGCGATGCGCACTGCTGCAGCACAAACACAGTCGCATGCATCTTCCTGAGTCCAACGCACAAACAGCTAAAATGCCAGTGGTTGATGCAAGAAATGCAGCTGCCAAGGAGTGAAACTTTGTGCTGAGCTTCTGCGAATAGTTTTTCTCTTCCGGAATGCTTTTTGGCAGCTGCTTGCAAACAGCTGCATCGCAAGGCAAGCTGCAGCTGCCAGTCAACACCATGCACTCAGGATTCGGGAACAGCAGGCAAGTGGCCTGAGTCGCCATGAGCCCAGAACTGACGTGTCCTCCATCCATCTCTCTCGCTGAGCCCTTGGCCAGCTCAGACCGCCGCACCGCCCACATCATTCCTGGCACACTTCCCGCTCGGACACTTCTCCCAATATTTCTGATCTTTCCAAGCAGGGGACTGTTAGTGGGTGGGGGCAGGGCCCAGCTCATCCCAACCTTGCCAATGCTAGACACTTTCCTCAAACTGCGCGCATGATATGGCATTCGTGAACAGCACGAGGGTGCCGCCACCGAGCCTCCACGGGAGTGACATCTCTGGCCCCGGCACCCTTGTCGTCCACGTAGACCTCAACGAAAATCACCAGGATCGTGGCCGGCATCAGCATGGAGCACACGACGCAATAAAACTGATGACGAGCGTTGCCCAGCACAGCCGCACAAATTAGTAAACGTCTGTCAGGAGCTTCTTTGACACGGACACTCAACGCACTGAACAGTGGAAGGAAGAAGGCCGAATGACGCAATTATCTCCCAGCCCTTTCCGGACAAGCGAGTGGTTTCCTATTGCCAGGGTCGAAGCGACCCTAGAGTCGCATGCGGCAGAGCAGCGCCAAAGGTGACTTTCTTGCCCAGGTCTGGCCGCAGGGTCCACTCACAGTCCGCCTGGCAGGTCGCTTTTGATGGGTACAAAGGAGTGTGGTGAGGCGGCGCTTTTTCCTCTTTCAACATGCAAGCTGGGGCGTCCTTTTGAGGACATCTGACTTGGCAACCACACATGGTGCTCCAACTCTGCTGCCTGCTATGAACTCGCTGACCAAAAGCTTGACTCAAACACAAGCAACATGCTTCAAGACCGACCTCTTCCTTTTATTGTTATCTCTGTTTTTATTTATTTATTTTTGGGGGGGTGAATCGCGGGTATTTAGCGAGCCGTTTCCGGCACCTTGCGGAAGTAGAGTAGCTTCTCATTGCCCTTCTCCTCGGACTTTGCCTGGCAGGCGATCGCATGCATCACCTGTCCCCTTTGTGGAAGAAAAGCAATATAGCCCATTCGCAACACCCCTTTGGGAAGAAACGCAATGGCCCGTTTCGAGATACACCACGAAAACCTGACTTTTGCGTTCCAGCCTTAGCTGCCGCTTGCGCAGCGGTCTCGTCTAGCTTCTGCTGCACCTGGCCAGCTGAATCTCGGTGAATGGCTAGTGCTTGGAAACCTCCGAGTTGATCTCTCAGTTCTCACTATAATTCTCTACCAAAAGGAAATACACAGCAGTGTGTTTAGTTTGGCCAAGAGTGACTTTAGTTTGGCCAGAAGGTGGGGTTTAAAACCACCAAAAGGGAAAATCTAGTAGGGAATCCTGTCATTTGCTCATTGGCTTTGTGGTAAACCATCCATCCTCAAGGTTGCCCAACCCCAGAAGCCAGCCAGCCAGCGCAAGAAACCTCTTCAGGGACCTCAAGTTGGAGGAAACAGAATTCGACACGACCTACCGTTATGACAAACCCGTGCAGAGACAGCAGTGAATCGGCAACTGTAACACACCTTTCTTCGCACATGCTCAAGCACGACCAACACCTGCAGAAAACCAAGCACAGCTAGTGAAGACATGTTCTCTGAGTTTCGACACCCCCGGACCCACGGGGTTTTATTCAGATTAGCGGGTTAGCGCAGCTGTGGCATGCTTCCTGGTGCAGCCGAAAAGCAGCCGGCGGGAACTTGCTGTCTGGATCGGGCAGGATGTGGCCCCAGCCCTGCCACCTCAGGCCAACCCGTGCGCTCTAGGGTTCGGCCTGGAAGAAACGGAATGCATAGCACGGGAGCAAACTGAGCGCCGCAAATGGGCGGATTCTTCGGCTCAGGGCCGGGCCGGTGCCACCACTGGATGGTGCCGGAGTATCTCTGGCCTCGGAGCCAGCCATCAGGCCCAGTTGTGCAACAAAGGAAACGCAGAAACAAAGAAGCAACCCAACCGCCGAAACCAACCAGGAAAAATCAGAAAGAAAACAAGAAGACAAACAAAACAAACTGAACAATGCGGCAGCAAACCTTGTAAGAGCAGCATCCAAGGCGACTGAAAGCACATCACTTGAGCTGAATAGAACTGCCTAAAGCACCAGAAACTTTGCATTCACATGCTGGGAGGGGACATTGCACTGTACAATCCGGCCTTCCCTGCAAAGGCACGGTCGATGCCCTGAACATTACGTACAGTGAAGTGACCATAAGCCATAGTGCATTGCATGTTGTCCCTTGTTCCATCCTGTTCCCTTGGAACCACAACAGTATTGAGGGGTTCAATCAGACCTGAGCCTCGCCGGGCACCCGGCTTCCCTCCTCTTGCCGGTGCTCGAGGGCCTCTTGAGTGATCGGCGTGCCGCCTGGCAATAGCCCGATGGGTCGTTTCTTTTCGGACGCCCCCTCTGAACCAACATGGAGCCCAAAACGTGGTGAAACCCAAAGCATTCCTTCGCAAACTGTGGTGGGGTTGCGCTCTGCAGGGGGCAACCTATTGGGAGCTTGAGGATGTGAGGTCCCAAAAGGCCTGGAAGCGTCACATTGTAGGCCATGTAGGAGTCGGGAGTCCTGCGTTCTGAGCAATGGCTTGAAGCTGAAACTGAAAAAGCAATTTATGCGGGGCAAAATTGAGGTGGGAAGGTGCGTAAATGTGTGTGGGGTGCCAAGTGCTAGCAGTCGGGTGTGATCATTCAGCTTTCCAGCCATAACTTACCAGCATTCTTTCACTCAGCGGCTGTTCCGTGAAGAACGCGTCAAACTGCTGGACTTGCCCGTCGATGTGCTCTCCAAGTTTGTGTCGGGTTGGCTTGAAGGCCAAAGGCCCGGGACTCCCCATAAAGTTCACGGGGCAGGCGAATTAGGACACAAACTACACAAACCTGGTGACATTGTTCCATGCACTTGTTCACGCAACTCAAAGGACATGCATTTATCGAGATGTAAATGAATAGATGCTAGTTGCTCTAAGTCTGGGTGACTGAATCAATCCATCGACCCAACCCGCCAATCCCCGACCCTCGGACAATGAATCGACCAAGGCAATCAATCAAGCACACACAACAACCGAAAACAAGCTACAAACTTATCCACTAATGAATCCAACCGGTTAAAACTCTGCAAGGGACAAGTCCCTACCAACCAACTTTTGGGCAAACGACAAAGCGGAAACCGGAAGCGAGCGGGGATGGGGCCTGATTACTGTTCTGCCCAGTCTTCCTAGCTGCTCCTGCAACCTTCCCCACCCCCGCCTTCCCTAGTCCCTGGTTCGTTTCTCTGACAAACCCTGCTACGTACATCGCCCCACTCTTACCTGTGAGAGTCGCGGACAACACCATTGCGCACAAAAACACAAACACAAGGGCATACAAAAGCACGCACGAGCCCGCCACACACACACACAACCACAACCAGGTATAAGCACAACCAAACACACACTGACGCACGCTTTATGTTTGCAAAGTGACAGAGCTTGAGGCTCAGGCTTGCCCTTGACGATTCCGAACTCAATCGCCAGCCTGAGGCTTTGCACACTCGAGCCCCAACAAGCTGTCTCCAGTGCCCAGTGCTTCCAATCATCTTTGAGTAGAGAAAGGTGAGCATTATGGTTGACTACTGGACTCGGTTGCATCACTTCTCCGAAAACATCTCCAATCAAACCATGAATGTGTTTTCGTGGATATGTCTGCTCTCCCTGAAGAGCCTGCTCGCAAAAGTTTTCCACGTGCAGCTTAGCCACTTGTCGATTCTCATCCTCAAAGGCTTGCCTGCGG